CCGGAACCTACTCTTGACGATATTGAGTTTAGAAGAACTGCTGTGGTTAACTTGAGTAGTATAAAGTACAACAAGACACCTGTTCTCTCTTATTATTCCGAGTGGTTGAAATTAGTCAGAGCTGTAACCTGGTTTAGAAGGTTCATCGAATTCCTGACGGTACTTCGTTTACCGAGTTGTGAAGGATCCGTTCATCTAGGATGTTTTAAGGTCAAAGAGCTTGAGATTGCCAAGTGTAAGATTTTATTGATGGTTCAGAGAGAAGTGTATGGAGAATTACTTAGTGAATTTAAAAACAGCAGTAAAGTAGTAAGCCATGATGATCTGAAAGGTTTATCGTTGATAATGCTTGATGTGTTACTCTGCGTTGGAGGTCGACTAAGATACTCAGATTTCCCAAATGCTTTTAGATATCCAGTAATTTTACCTAGTCGACACTTAGTGACGGAAATGATAATTAGACATTGTCATAAAGAACAAGGACACGTAGGAAGATCATTAGAAAGAGGGTATGGATATGTGTTTACTTGTTTGCAAACATGGGCAGTACATATTGAAATGATGTGTAATTTGATTACTGATTCATTTTAATGGCTCTATTACGTTTTATTGGAAGAAGAAGGAAACCTCCGGAGATTTACAGTGACAGTGCGTCAAGCTTCGTGGGGACAGTTTCTGAGTTAAGCAAGTTTGTGCAGCAGTCGAATCAGAAGATAAACATTGAATTGTCAGCGAGGCCCTCATCCAACAGCATGGGTGGAGTTTGGGGAAGAGTGATTAGGTCTATATCACGACTGTTATTGTTCATCATCAGAGAACAGGTGAAGCAGGTATCATTGAAGCTTTGGATTAGTCTTTGTTGTTATTGATGTAGTTAGGTCGAGTAGGCGTACTGTTGTAAGTCCTACACGTTCCTATGGTGTGATATGTTATATAATGAACCATGACCGTAGGCATCAAGGTAGCTTGTGTGGTATGGAGGGATTTTGGGGGCCGGTGTATGATCCATTTTGAATGTGTTGTGTGTTGGTGGAAATTCCTCCATGTATATACTTGTACTTTATGCCTATTGATCACATTAGTTGTACATTGTTGTATTTTGATTACATTTGAATTGTTAATATTTGTATTTTTGTTATAGTTTTTGTTTTTATTACGCATTCACTAAGTTTGTGTTTCTTCCTGAACTGCATCTGCGTTGTTTCACTTGACACTTGTTCTTGGCGGTAGCCATATTGATTTGTTCCTCCTGTTGTGTGTGATCTATCCAGTCAGGATAGAATAACGTTCATTTGTTGTGATTGATTTAATTGATTGAACAATCATTGGTTGAATAGCCGGGTGATAATATTTGTTTAGAACCGCTAGTTACCCGATTACTTGCTCTGATTTCCACGGGAAAGGGCGCGTGTCTAAAGTCCCCGGTAGGCTATTCTTCAACATCCAAACCGTACTTTGGATCCTACAGTCGACACTCACGGGGAGAGTACTTGTAAGAAGGAGAGCTTCACGAGAAAGTGAGCGGTTTATGGTCCGTGAAAAGAGTGAATTCACGACATTCGATGTGGTGTTGAAAATGTCGTACAGCACAATACATAGCTAGGAGTTCCCTACCGAATGTGCTGTACCTTGATTCGGTGTTTAGCAACCTTTTAGAGAAAAATGCCAAGGGTTGCCAGGAGTTGTTAACCCATTGTTGTAAGACGCCACCGATTGCCGAGTCCGATGCGTCTACTGTGACAATAATGGGTGCTCGGGTGTCCTGATGTGCGAGCATGGTTGCCTTTGCGATAAGTTCCTTAACTGTGGAGAATGCTTTTCGTGAGGTTTCGTCCAAATTGATGGATTATGCATTTCCAAGAAACCGATCGGTTAGTGGTTTCATAACTGACAAGCAGTTCGCTATGAATCGTCTATAGCAACTTACAAGGCCGTTAAACGTTTGTAGTTGCTTGATCGTGGTCGGTTCTGCGTTATCCAGAATTGCCGCCACTCTGGTTCCAAGGGGTCGAATGCCTTGAACATCTATAGTGTGTCCCAGAAAGTCGGTTCCGTATTGGCATTTCTGAACGTTTACAGTAATGCTATGTTTTTGTAGTCGTTCCGAAACAAGGTCCAGATGCTTGAGATGTGTTTCTCTGTCCGGACTTGCGATTAGACAGTCGTCAACATACGCATGTACGAAGTTGAGACCTCGAAAAACGTCGTTTATGAATCTTTGGAATGTTTGAGCAGCATTTCTCAGACCGAAAGGCATTCGCAAAAATTCATAGAGTCCGAAGGGAGATATGATAGCTGTTTTCGGAATGTCGTCAGTAGCCATAGGTATTTGGTTATACGCTTTAACCAAGTCGATTTTCGAAAAGACAGTTGTACCTCTCAAGGTAGCTGTCAAATCGTGAATGTGAGGCAATGGGTAACGATCGTGAATGGTTTTCGCATTCAATCGCCGATGGTCGCCAGTTGGACGCCAATCGTTGCTGTCCTTTTTAGGGACCGCGTGCAATGGAGATGCATATGGGCTATTTGACGGTCGTATGATTCCCAAGTCTATCATGTGATCGAACTTGTTTTTCGCCAACCTTAGCTTTTCCGGGGTTAGTCGTCGTGTTTTAGGGAATACAGGTGGTCCTGTAGTCGTGATGTGATGTGTAGCGTTGCTGGTTACACACGGTAATCTCGGTTGCGTTTGTTGTATCCCAGGATACTTATCGAGTAGCGGTTGATAAAGTGGGTCTATCGTGTGCTTGATTGTGGCTGAGGATAATCTGCAACCAGAGAAGGAAGTTACGCAAATGGACAAATTAGTGTTTCCGTCTACTAGCCTCTGTTTGCGAGTATCGATGATTAGATTATGGTGTTGTAGAAGGTCTATACCAATGATTGGCATAGAAACATCTGCAACAACGAAGATTCAGTGAATGGGTTTGCGTAAACCCACGATAAGGTAAACGTACCTTTTGCCACACGTGGCGATAGGTTTTCCGTTTGCCGCCTGTAAGTTTAGGGTCGATTCGTGAAGTCGGTCGTTGGAATTTGCTAAGAGAACGCTGACTTCTGCGCCAGTGTCGACGAGGTAGCGAACTCTCGTTGTCACATCTGTGACGTATAACAGACGGCTATGTTCGCCGGCTACGGTTGCCGTTAACGCATGCCGGCTTGGAAGCTTCCCGAGTTGTTTTTCGAGTCAGTCGGTTTCTGTTGGGAAACTCGTAGGGTTTTCTGCAATTTCTGGAAAACTTTCCATACTGGTTATGATACCAACACCAGTCGGGGTTATCTGTCTCTCGTGAAATGCTTCTACGTGGGGCGCGCGATCTCTTACGGTCGGTACGAAGGCTAAGATAACGCGTGAGTGTGTGACATAACTCGGTTATATCATTCTGAGTCGTTTGAGGCTTTTCTTTGACTGACAAAACCTCGGTAGTAGAAGGTTTCGTAATTTCTAAAATGCGGTCGGCAGATGCAGCTAGCTCGTCTAAGGCGTTGTTCTGGAACGAGACCAGAACTGCTTGCACCTGTTGGGGAAGTTTTGACAAGAAGAGTTGTTTGAATAGACCTTCGTCAAAAGTTATTAGGCCTACAACCTCTCTCATCCGTTGCAACATGTCCGTCGCAGAACCGTGTTGCAAGTCGATGTTATTGAAGAGTTGATCTAACCTTTGTCGATCGGTTAGGTCTCCTCGTTTAAGAATCGAGCGTTTTAAGATTTCGTAAGGATCAGAAACATCACTAGTAAACATACTAGGTGTGACGTACCTGTTGAATTCACGCGGTAGTGCCTTGACTACTGCGAAGAATTGTGCACGTGTGTCGATCACGCCGTGCTCGTGGAAGTCGACTTCTTCGTAACAGAACCAGGCTTCGATATTGTTGGGCCAGAAGGGCATGAGTTGGAACGAGGGTGGGGACAAAGTCTAAATCTTAAATACCTTAGGAATCTGTTTGGTCATAGGGGAATATTAAGTACGAGAATACACGAGTGAAAAATATATAGATATCCTGAGACACGGGGGAAAATATCACAATGTATAAAAAATAAAAAATAAGCCAATAAAATATAAAAAATTCCCAAAAAGGAACAGACTCACAGTTGCAATTAGGTGTACCAGATCACATTAGGCTCACCAATGAAGATGTCACAGGTATTCAGTGTTTGACAACGCTTTTACCAGTAACACCTAATATATTTCGTTCCCACCCAGAGAAATCAAAAGACAGGGTCGAGGAGATCGGAAGAGTGTATTTGGCGATTACCAATATATCGGAATTCTCTGATCTAATCTGGCTAGCGATTGCGGTTGATGTTGAGCACGGCGTTACCACACGTGATTTGGTGCGGATGCATGACCGAGCGCCTTCAGCTAGGTGAGTCCACTAAAACATATGGTCAGCACCCAATGTCGAAAACCTACAGAGCTATTTATTTTGGGGATTTATTTACCGCTACAAACTAAATCATAGTGACGGTCATGAAAAAATAATCTCAATCTATCAGAGCAAACTTATGCGCTATTTCTTAGATGGAATTTCGACTCGACTTCCACCGCACACAATTTTATGGAAAGCTGTTACTGGTTTGCTAGATTCTAACGATGGTTTATTTTTAGATCACCCGCCAAATTTCGGGTTATGAAAATGCTATGTAGCTGAGGTCATGAAATGACATGGAAAGAAATCACGGGGTACAGAGATTTTGTAAAGGCACGACAGGGTTCAGTCCTGTTGTAGTTAGTGGCGTTCTATTAAGGATGTTTAGGGTCAAGGGAGTTACGTTAAATATGAATAAACTAGTAAAATTTAAGGTAGAGAACCATAAATTGTTCCACGAAATTCATTCACTCACACAGCATTTGGGATTTATTGCTGATGCTATATCTGGATGAAAACTTCAACCTCATTTCCTGACCCTAATCAAAATCTTTCACTCCTTATCCTGATTCTTCTCACTATTTTGGTCATAATATATAGTTGAAAATCCCCAAGACCCCTTTAAGGTCACTCGAAGGTCATTAATGAAGTGTGGTCAAGCATCATAGTAACCTAAAGCTCTACGTTATTTGTTATTTTGCTGGTTTCACTGAGGTTCACTCACAGATTCTTAACTTTGTTTTCCTAATGTTTATTTGACTAGCCTGAAGGTCGTAACAAACATTTAAAGGCCGTTATTTTGCTTATTCACAAGGTTCTCTGCATATTTCTCGTAATATTCCGGTACATTCATCGAACCATGCACAAAAATCCTAAACGAGCTATTTATGTTAGGCTTCTAGGTTGCGCCCATCCCGGAATCAGGGCCACCACAAAACTGATTACAGAATGTTTCGTTTGGCCCAAAATTAACAGAATAAATACAAATAACATCAAAACCACTTACAAAATAAGTTTGTCATGCCTATCTCCACAGACCTGTCATTATTTTACCGTTCGATTTTCTCTCGGACCTTTGTATCCTAGTATTTTTCCCTCGAATAGAATATCTGACTACTTTTCCGTTTATTTACACAGAACTGTTTTGTTGCATTGTTCGCTGTCAATGTTATAAAAATGGACGACACGGTAAGTTTTGAGTTTATGTAATTCATTAAATGTTTAGGTCATTTAAATATTTAAAAGGCATATGCCTTTTGCCATTTCCGAACATTAGTTTCTAGATATTTTGTCGGTAAAATGTCCTTTTTAAGGAGACAATGTTTTTTGTCAAAACTAGAAGTCTCCATAGACAGCTTTTCTTTGTAGCTTATTTCACTGACAGTGTAACGTAATGCGACTGACTAGTATTTTGAGTCGCGATTGCAAAGTATATAAGGTTTCACTATGACACTCATGATACAGATACATCAATATTACACTCCGAAGTCCTTGGGTTTTGTGTAGACGAGATTTAAGTCTGGTAATTAGTCCAATTGTAAGACTTACATTTCACACCAACGTTCATGTGTCAAATTTTAGGACCATAAGTACTTATCAACCACTCGGTGGGCTACAAGTTACTAACGAGAAATATAAGAATGTGCATTCACACAAAAACAGGTAAGTTATATGAAATAGTTAACCGTGAAATGCTAATGCGAAAAAATGATCATGAATATGTGATTGATAGACATGACAAAAACAGAATAATTCACCAAATAGCTTAATATTCGTTATTGTCAGTGTCACGTTACTGATCGTTTGGGCTCGACAATGCTTTGTTTGTTAATCCTGATAAATAAAAAAATTCCGAATTATTTTGGCTTCGTTATAGTCAGTCTTCTCTTTCTAACTAGTACAGTGCATTTAAGCATTTGTTCTTAAATTTCTTGAGGTCTTCCAAGGATATAAAAATATGTATCAAACATTGTACTCCTTTACCATAACGTACAGCTACTTGAGTTCTTCCACATTTAATGGTTAAATTTACTACATCTAGTTGCGCAAGTAGTGTCACTGTTGGCCTTCTGGAATCCCATTCTTAGCTTCTACCAGTGTCAGTCTAGTGGTATTATCACCAGGAAAACGAGTTTTCATCTCACGTTTGTTTAAAATCCGTTTGGTTTCTTTCGACGTTTCTTCACGTTAAGGAATGGCTAGTGTTTTTTTGTTTTTCTGTACACTCCAATTTCATTATCTCGGTTTAGCAAATAAGTTTATTACCAACCTTGTCGTCAATCTTTGAAGTTTGCACTTCATATTTGTTTAGCGTTGTGTATTTTATACCCGGCATTTAGTTTGTTTGCTCCTAACTGTACTTTTGAGTGTCAATAAATAGTACTACTAAGACAAATATTTCCAAAAGCATATCAGGTCCCAATAGAAGATCAAATATTGCATAATTTTTTGATAGCTTTATATTCAATGGTTGTGCTTTGGATATTTCTACTCTTTACTTACCCTTATTTCTTATGTCCTGAAATCTTATACCTTTCTGTTTATTTTTTAACACCTGAGCTTTCTTACTGCTACCAATATTGTTATTGCTTCTACTACTCTGGGATTCGTCTTGGTAGTTTGATCTTGCTGTCCTAATGGGATATGGGAACTTGAAGCGACACATTTATCAGGTTCTGTGTAGGATATGCGTGCTTGACCAATACTTCTATATTTGATTTTTCTACCTAAATCATCAGGTTGGTCCCGCAGCCTATGTCCTTTTTGATGAACTATACACCAAAGAAAAGGTTTTTCGCTCCATAATTACCAGCAACAAAACTCTAAATATTCGTCTACTGGGCAGGTATGTGTACTAGTTTATTGGTTTAATTATGTATTGTGCTTGCATACATGTTGAGTCTAGGTTGAGTGAAGCATAAATAAAAAATTACAAAAATAACGGTCTTAAGTACTTTTATGGTTATATATGGCCTATTACTTATGAAGATTCTACTCCTGAACCAGTTATTCCTAGTAACCAAAGTTAAGCATTCAAACTTTCCAACTAAATATATCAAGCAGCCTGTGTCAAGATTACAGTCAATATCTACGGATTAAAGTGTTAATAATTTTCATCTATACTGACTTGTTCTCGTCTATCAACATGTTTCCAGCTAACTAAAACTTCTCCAACCATAGGCTAGTTATTTCAACATGTTCCCTATCTAGTGCTCTGAGGAAATATATAGGTTATATGTGTAAATCCCTTATCCTGGTAAGTCAGTCGAATTTTTCGCCTAGATTTGGTAGATTATTATCACACTGTAGCATATCTTAAACACTGTCGAATTGCTTGATTGCTGAATGTGCGGACAGGAGTTTGTGTTTCGTAGCTCAGTGTCATAATTATTTAAAAGTTAATATTTGCCTTCTATTTAGAAGTCTGTTTAGATTGTAGGTACGTTGAACTTTTGAATGAAAGCTTGATTTCTCATTTTGCCACTTTTTTACAAATCCTTTATTTATTTCATATATGACATGTAGATTTTCTGCATTCAAAGCTGATAGCAATCTGGTTGAACTGTTGTCCCCATTTCAAGGTGGTGCTATTCCTTGCGTTATCGTCAATGTAAAATATCTAACTGAAAACCAGAAACAATGTTTTTCAAGTCAGACAGCTAATGAACGCTTGATACAATTTATTGGGGAGTTAAGTATATCAGATGATAAAAAACACTATCACCTTACAGCGTTTTCATTTACCTTTATGGATGGTGTGAGTTTGGATTTATATAGAACTGTAACAAAGATAACTCGAAGTTATATTGCCTACTTACCGTCTTTGTGATTTATTTTGAAGCTTTTTTGTGTATATACTGCAGTTATTCCTGTTTTTCCTATGTGGTAATTCAATGATTTGTTGAAACAATGAATAGATTGTGAGTAAAAAATTATGTCATTTTTCTACATATTTATTTGTGATTGTATTCGGAAATCTTCAGATTGATCATATGGTTTTAAGAGTAAATGTAAAATAACGCGAATTGGTTGGTTTTCGAGTACAGATATCTCACTGGAAATTTCTTAAAAAGTTCAATTGTACTAAACGAGATACTTTTGAGTACATATGGATTTACTCTTTATCTTACTTTAGGTCTTGAGTTCCAAAAATATTTTTAACTTTTCATACCAATAACTCATCATTTCTTTTCAAATCATATTATCCATCTAATTTAATCTATCTAATACCACCGACACTACTACTACAGCTGTTTATTTGTCTTGGTAATTTTATGTCGCTGTTATGTAGTGTGACAACTGGAACTACTGTGCACTTTTGCCAGGTTTTACGTTGATCATGACTGCCTGCTTAAAGGAGGTGTTTAATAGCATGCATTTTACGTGGACTTACAAAATTATTGAACCATCAGTATATGTGTAACTAATTTTCTTGATGTTGAGCCGTTGTTAGTCACTTGTGATGTGAGATTCCAGTCTTTCAACCAAAAGACGATTATACCACACAGCAGTTCACTCGGTTGTACTTTATGGTTGCAAAACGCATCCGTTAAGAATATGTGGTATTCGCATGTAAAGGCAAATCGATTGATGGGGCAGTGAATCTTTATTAACCAAGGTAGTTGGGTCATGTGTCACGTATCCCTGAACACCGCCTACCTTAATGCTTGATGATGATGACTAGCGTATGAGTAGACTGGGATAAAAATAGGTGTGGCCAAAATCAGAGGTGTAACCAGTCTGTGAAGTTATTAACAATTGAACTGAGCCATACTAATAGGAGTAGACTACCTGGTTGGTGTCCGCGAAATTATCGTAACTAATGGATGCAGATTTTGGGTAACATGACAGAGTATCGCTCGCAACGGTGGAATTGCATTTACTCCCAGTCTTACTCTAGACCTTCAGTTTCGGGATCTCACATATTTCGTTTTTCCATATCGAGTCTTTTCTTCTACTAATACTGGGACTGCTACTCCGAAATTTTACCTCACCCTGTTAATGTGGTGTGGCAGTTTCAACCGATATACGCATCATGTTCTCTGTATACAATGTTGATGAACATTATTGGTTAACATTTTGTGTTTCATGTGTTGATTATAGTTCTATATTAATAAATTTAACTCAATAAGAGTACATGATGACTAGGAAACTTTAATTGTAAAATATGTATTATGTTTTCAGTAAAAATAAACTCTGAAGGGAAACCCATCTATTCGCTGTACGACTTGTACGTGCCTGTAGAAGTGTTACGGCACTCATAATCCAGTTCACTAATAAAAAAGTATGTCTATGTTTTCAATGCATGTTTTAAAAAAAATCAGAGGTAATTGTTGCACTAACAGTTCAATCAATAATCTGTTCGTTTGAGGGATGTTTAATAAGTACCCGCTAGTTAGAATATATTTAATATCGGCTAATTAACATTGATTATAATTTTTATCAAATATTACTTATTCACACTTAGTTATTTTCATTGCCTTGATATTTGCCCTTCGACAGTCTGATATAGATCTCCATTGGCTAAGTTGACTAATATATCTTACTTGGGTTCTCTTTGTTCAATAACTTAAGAATAAGTTGAAAAGGTAGTTATGACCAGACCAACATGTAAAGTAACTGACTGTCGGTCTCAAACAAAACAAGTATAAGTTAAACTATATGATATGGTTAAAAATTAGTCGCACCTGTATAGATGACCATCATTTTTTGCTTTTAAAAAAAAACAAACAAATATAGTGTTTCTAAGTGATCCGCTACTCATTAAAGTAATTTGGTATCATATAACTTTGATATAGATGCTTAAACTTAACCGTAAGATTGGTTAGCTATACGAAAATATTGATACAATGCGGTGTGCTTTCCCTGTTTGAAAAGTACCTACCTTAGCATTAGGCGATAAAAGCTTGTGTACATTTCTTATGCGCCTATGTGAACAAACACTGGGTTAGAACGAATGAGTCCTATTGATTACCTTCTTTAGTTGATTAGTTCATTAAATTGTCTGTCTGTGATAATCGTGATGTTTTCTATTTCATTTCAACAAATCAGTAAAAATTAGTTGTATAAAGTCTTGGTTCGTGTAATACTTATCGTTGTCATACATTTTATAGAAGAGAATTTAAATATATCATGTTTGTTTGTTCTGTCTGTTATTATTAGTTTAGGAAAATAGACTATCTGTTTATGATATGGTTAACCATTTTAAGATGTTAGAGATTTATTATTTAAAATAAATTGCATAAACTGAGTTAAAAATCCACTATTATCTTAAATAAGAACAGTATATGTAAGCGAGCGATATCGTTTTTTATCAGATTATCAAGTCTTACTATAGTATGCAGAAATATTTATATGAATATATGGAAAATATTGAGCGATTCAATACAATTTGCGAGTCAGTCCTAACAATGAAATATTGTAATAGGTTGGAAATACAAATTGATAGTAAAACGGTAAGTATACTAGTTATATTAGTTAATATCTTAACATAGCAGGTAGAGTGAAACTTGGATAAATAAATATTGGGTGATACACAAATTACTGATGTACGTATTCATAATCATCATTAATTATTAGCACTGCCACCCAAACCTCTTTATAGTAACTAGATCACCCTGATCGGTAACTTTTTTACTTATCTGTATCTGTGAGGAACGATTTATATTATCCTCCAGTTGATTCATTATTGTACTTCACTCCTTTCAGTGTTGTGTGTATGATTTTATAATGCGTTATATCATGGTTCTGATTGAATTCTGTCGATCAAGGTGCAATACTATCAGTAAGCTAAATCAGTTAGCATGTTGATCTTCTGTTTGATAATGGATGGTTAAAATAGGTTTCGCGTTAATCAGTAGTTGTCAGGCAAGAGATATTGCAATATTAAGGTAAACGATGGCCCCCTTTAGATTCGAAGATATTTTATTTTGTCACCCTGCTATTAAAGAACTTGCTGGCGGTAAGCGATATACTGTAGGATGGAAATATTTGCATTTATTCATCAGATCATAGTAACCAGAGGTATACCGTGCAACTTTACCAGTAAAATCCAGTTAGTACTAACAGTTGGGCTGGATATTTCTTAGTAGTAAATGGCTATAACTTAGTACTCAGATTTGGTTGGTACTAACCTTTCTAGCTGTAATATGGATCCAAACTATGCTGGTGTCATCAGCTCTCCCTGAATTGCAAAATTACACTTGGATAACGATTACCAGCTATCACCAAGTGTTAGTCCATGGTTTTCTTTCAATTATATCCAACAACTTACGTCTGTTACCCCTCATGGCGAAACATAGGCCTCCTACCACCATTCTTTATCCAACTCTGACCTAGACAACACTTTCCAGTTGTTTTTAGTTGTTATACATCCTTTTGATGCCTGATTCTTGTCCTCGACGCAGCGTGTTCTTTGGTTTTCCTCTGTTCCATTGTTCTTCAGGTTTCTAAGTTGGCGCTTGCCTCGTGATGGAGTTTGGTGATTTCCTCAACCTATGTCCTGTCCACTCCCAACGTCTCTTCCTAATTTCCTTTTGAACTTGAATCTGGTTTGTTCTCTCCCACAGTTGGCTGCTGCCGATGGTTTTCAGTCAACGGACATTGAGTATCTTGCGTAGACCATTGTTTATAAATACTTGCATCGTTTTGACAATGGTTGTGGTGGTTCTCCAAGTTTCATCTCTATATAGTCGAAATGTCTTGACGCTCACACTAAAGATTCTGACTTCGATATTAGTTGACAGACAGTTGTTTTGGGTTTCACGTGTTCTTCAAATGTAAGAATGCTGCCCTTGATTTGCAAATCATTGCCTTTACGTCTGTATCACATTCTCCACGTTCGTCGATGACGCTATCTAGATACGTGAAACTTTCCACCTCATCCAGAGTTCCTCCAAGAAGTGTGACTGGACTGCTGTTCTCTGTGTTGTATTTGAGGATGTTGCTTTTCTCTTGTGTATATTGGGGCCTACTGATGCGGAGACTGCTGCTACATTGTCTTGACCTGCGTTTTTTCATGTGTATGAGATAAAAGGGCCTTGTAATCTGCATAATCCAAATCGTCTAGTTGCATGTAAGCTGGCGTGACATCTATAGGAAGGTCTGTGTTTACTGCTTCGACGTCTGGTAGATTCAATGAAGGTGGTCTATTTGAGAGTTCCTCAAAGTGTTCCCATGTCTTCCTCTATTCTTGATCGTTTTTTCTGGCTTACCATATTTCCCTACTAGTTTCTTAGTTGTGTCGTATAGTTATTTGATATTTCCTTCACATGCAGCTTAACCCACTGTCGTTGATAGGTCTTCTGGAGGAACTCGGAAGGATAGGGACACACGTCGTTTCTGCCTGCTCTCCCACTGACTGCAGCCCGGATGAAGTGAAATATGACCTTTACAGAAAGCTCTCTGAACTTCTTCATAAAGCTAAACGATCAGACACAGTACTCGTAGCAGGTGACTTTAGTGCCAAGATAGGTAGCTTAAACCAAACAAAAAGGTATTTAGGCGGGTATTTTGTTATTCTGGCTCAGCGAACAGATAACGGTGACCGTCTGCTAAAACTGTGCTCAGACAATCGTTTGTTTTCAAAAAGCAAAAAAAATCAACACAAGCTGTTATTACAATTTAACACTTACTCATCATATTGAGTTGTACTTTTATTTTAAAAACAGTTCCGTTCTTTATCTCTGTCGTACATAGATATTAATCCAATTTTTTTTGGTACATAAAAACATCAATGTTCTGGATGGGAGCTTATGTGGCAAGCCCATTTGGCTACTGTATCATTTGTCTATTCATTGTAACTCAGACTCTTAATTCACTATGTTAATTTCGGTGTGTATGATCGAATGCATGTCTGTACATTAACTCTTAAGCTATCCTCCTATTGGTTTCAATGTGCAGATAATCGATCATTTATCCACACCCGATTAACTCTTAAAAATATATATGGGTTTTAAACACACACACTCACTCTGTTTCATCGTGTGCTTGCTCACCGTACGTTTGTGGATTTTAATTGATCATTAACAATAAATTATCTCTATAACTGGTGTTCAGGCTTCTCAATAATTTCGAGTAAATCCGTAATTCTACTAGGAGATTAAGCCTACCTTAAATACTCAGTTTACGGGATAGTATTTATTGGAG